AGCACCAGCACATCACATAACAACATCCAGGACATCTCCCAGCATCCAGCACATCACATAACAACATCCAGGACATCACACAACACCCAGCACATCTCCCAGCATCCAGCACATCTCCCAGCACATCACATAACAACACCCAGCACATCTCCCAGCATCCACTCTTCACCTTAACAAAAGCATGCATAAAATAGACAGTAATAAAGGGAATTTTTTTCCTTTATTATAATCCTTTCCCCCCCCTTCCCCCTCCCCCCCCCCCCCTTCCCCCCCTCCCCCCCCCCCCTTCCCCCCCTCCCCCCCACCCTCCCCTACTCTACGTCAACCCAAAGTGGTCGCCGTCATCTGTTGGTGTTTGTCCACCTAATCCTTTGTTTGGGCATGTGAAGCCGATGAGCACGTATAGACGCGGGATTGATCGGATCTAATCCCATCTGGCGATACACTAACAATCGTTCCCGTATTTAAGTCATACATTTGTGTGTGTGTGTGTGTGTGTGTGTGTGTGTGTGTGTGTGTGTGTGTGTGGAGGGGGGGGGGCAGGTCTGGCAAGTATTATACGAGGTGTATTTAGTGTTGAGTAACCTGTGGTGGCTTCAATGCCCCGAGGTGCAGTGGGATCTATCGTGAGCCTCACTGCACACTAGAGAACAGTCCACCACGGGTAGTTCTGTCGTTAACGGACGACCTGACAAACACATTCTCGAAGCCGGACTGAGTCCTCGTGTGATTGTCTTCTACTCGAGTAAGTGAACCTACTCAAGTAGGTTGACCAGACCACACACTAGAAGGTGAAGGGACGACGACGTTTCGGTCCGTCCTGGACCATTCACAATCGACTTGAGAATGGTCCAGGACGGACCGAAACGTCGTCGTCCCTTCACCTTCTAGTGTGTGGTCTGGTCAACATACTTTAGCCACGTTATTGTGACTCATCGCCTACCTACTCAAGTAGGGTTCTAAATATATATTTTACTCAATCAAAAAAAAAATCGCATATAATTAGGGAAGTCAGTCCAGCGTGTTAATTACTATCGATGGTGCATGTTTTTTTTCTGCTATCTGGCGTAGGATATCAGAGGCCCCTTGAAGCCAATCGCTATTTACGGTAGCTATCACTAGGCTTATGTCGGACATGCACGGAAGCCCAGTAATTAAATATTCGCCGGTGATATGAAGGTTTTGACTGTCCGTGTACAGCGATATGGGCGTGCTTCTTACGACCTGGTACGGCGCACGAGGTACGGAGCATTTGTAGTGTCTCTGTTGGTCCTCTGTCTCTCTTTCATTCTTCTCCTTTCTCTCGTGTACACCGTGCAATGTGATGGAGAAGATCAGGAGATAAACAACTAGAACATCTGGAGATAAGCAACTCTGATACACAACATGGGATCATATTATTATTATTAACATCTTTATTGACAAAATTAATTACAATTTTGCCTAATCTGAGGATTTTGATAGTCTTATTAAATTGAGGTTAATGCTAGTATTCACTGTCACGCAGGACAGAGGGTCATACATAAGACAATAGGCCTAAACTGTAGGCTGAAGCACATATATATCACGGTTACAATCAATGTTTTAATGTATGGATATGTGACAACAACTTTCTATTGTGCACTGCCACACAAGGGCAGGGATGGGTTCATAAGTGATACAGCTTAGAATATAAGTAGAAATTGTTCTTCATTCTTTAAAATGGACAAGCAAATTTTGGGTAAATTGTTAGGATGTCGTCCAGAACACCTGAGTCAATAAAATAGTTACACAGTTGGTGGTACAATAGACCAGGATCATAGATTGTAAATCGTGTCTCACAGGTTTAATAAAATTATATGCCCAGGTGACAAAAATTATGCAAGAGAAGGGTGGGCAGACTGCATGTTCTTGGACTGTCAAAAAGCCTTTGGCACAGTACCCTCATAAGGGCCTTATGCGTACATTGAAGAAACAGCCAGAAATAACAGGGAAGATGTTCTCGTGAATTAAGGAGTACCTAAGCAACAGAAAACAGAGATTTTCTGCGAGGAGGTAAATCTCATAATGGTGAGATTCTTAGAGATTAGCAGAGTCCAACAGAGGCCTCACACACACACGTGGGGGTACCCGGTTCGAGTCTCCTACAACCTAGGTGAATGGAATCCACCTGGGTTCGAAGCCTCGTCACGGCCCTTGTGGATTTGTTCATTTGATGCATCACGTTAGTGTGATCTCTGTGTGTAATGGAATATTCTGTTCTCAGACCAATACTGTTTCTGATAAGCTTACCTGATAATGATACAAAAATTAAGAGAGGGTTTAAGACACAGGAAGATAACAAGACACTGCAAGATGACCCGGACAAATTGAAAGCACGATCCGACAAATGCCTTCCAGAGTAAGTCCGGACGTGCTTGTAAGTAGTAGATATAATAGGGGGGAACAATAGGTCGGGAGTGAGTACATTATATAACCGACGGTCAGAAAGGCGGGGACCAGGCGCTAACAGCAAATAGTAGACACAAATAGTAAGAATTTGGACAATTCTTTCTCCAACAATTTTCTCCAAAAATTTGGAGAATTCAAAATTTTCTCCAAATTTTGGAGAACTGATTTTTCAATTACCATCGACAGTGAAAAGAAACATAAGAAATATTGAGAAAATTCGTATTAGAATTATTAATCTTACCTTTTCGGTCATATTTAACAACATATGTTTACAAATCGTAAGATGTACAAAGATGTGTCTTATTGATATATTTCACCAATAACAACCTGATTAGTTGATTTTGCAAACTGCGCCAAGGCGGGGCCGGTCGGCCGAGCGGACAGCACGCTGGACATGTAATCCTGTGGTCTGGGGTTCGATCCCGGGTGCCGGCGAGAAATGATGGGCAGAGTTTCTTTTACCCTATGCCCCTGTTACCTAGCAATAAAATAGGTACCTGGGTGTTAGTCAGCTGTCACGGGCTGCTTCCTGGGGGGTGGAGGCCTGGTCGAGGACCGGGCCGCGGGGACACTAAAGCCCCGAAATCAACTCAAGATAACCTCAAGAAGGTAGCTGACGACTCAGTTATCGCCAAATTATTTAATCTCTTACATGTCTGACGGATCCTATAATTTGATGCATAAAAAAAAAAATATTGAGCTGCAAACAGCCTTGCCTAACATCCCGTTTTCTTTACTTTCCCGCCAGGTGTGGTTCCAGAACCGGCGAACAAAATGGCGGAAGCGCCACGCAGCGGAGATGGCCACGGCCAAGCGGAAGCAGGAGGAGGCTGTGGACGGATACGGCGACGAGGAGCAGGACGACGACGAGGAACAGTCAGACTCGAAGCGTCTGAAGCACAGCCTGGAGGATCACCAGGACGCCCCTGGATCCCAGCAACAACAGCAAACGTCGACACACATCCCCGGTCACTCTTCCGTGTCCCTGGACTCCCTGGACTGTCCTACGTCCCGTGATCTCCAACCCGACATGCAGTGAAGGCTCCGTACCCCCCATGCGTGTCCAAACTAACCCCTAGGTGTTCTTAAACCCGCTCCGACGAGATCTCCTGCTCTCGTAAACCCCGCCAGGTTCAGGTTCTAAACTGCAGAATTCCTTGATCTCGCACCTCGATTACGTTCCAGGGCCCAAGACCGAAACCCGAGTCTTAATATCTTACGAACTCCTCTTTGCTCCGGGTTCCGTGTTAGAATCTTAGAGATTCAGAGTCTGAATTCACCCCATCAGCCAGGAGCCACTTCTCCCACTCCCCAACGCTGTTTCAGAGGATCTGGCGGACTTCGATAACCGAACTCCTGTTTGGGTCAAAATGGTATGCCAAAGGGGCGTGAAGGTGAGGTGCCAAAGGGGGCGTGAAGCTGAGGTGCCAAAGGGGATGAAAGGGGCAATTTTTTCATCTCGTGTACAGGAGGCCGTATCGCTTCAACATCTTACATAGAGTAGTAATGTGCTTTTGAAAAGGGCGCATCGATATATATATATATATATATATATATATATATATATATATATATATATATATATATATATATATATATATATATATATATATATATACCTTGTGGAATAACTGAGCTCTTTAAGGTTCAAAGTCAGTCTGAGTTACGGATTTTATAAATATACGTAAAAGTTTTACCATTAACCAGTAAGGAAATATGCATCATTATACATCCCGTCATTCTTCAAATCTTTCTCTGTAAATGAATACTCGCAAACCGAGCTTTACTGTGTATTTGTGATGTATCGAAAAGTATATATATTCATTAACTTTTTATCGAACTCCCTTTTTGTACCGAAATCTGTGGCGGGCTAAACATATCTGGCCACACTAACGACAATAGTCAGGTTGTTCCGGCTGCTACTCACACACACTCACTCACACACTCACTCACTCACTCACACACACACTCACACACTCCTAAAGTTGTGTCCAAGACTTGAACACCTTTATGGTAATATACTGTAGATAAGACCATTGCTTTAAAATTTCAGACCAATAATAAGAACTGACCAAAGAAACAGTCCACTTTCGGAACTGTTTCTCCAACACACGTGTTTAGCAGCTGTTTCTCCAACACACACACATGTTTAGCAGCTGTTTCTCCAACACACACACATGTTTAGCAGCTGTTTCTCCAACAACACACACATGTTTAGCAGCTGTTTCTCCAACACACACATGTTTAGCAGCTGTTTCTCCAACACACACACATGTTTAGCAGCTGTTTCTCCAACACTCACAGGCCTTCTCCACCGACACTATTGTGGACAAAATATTGTCAGGGGCATGAACGACTGGACTTCAGAACCGCAAGTGAAGCACATGGATAAATCCCGAAATTGGGAAGCAAATCAGAAATCACTTTTAAAATCATTGTTAAATATAACGAAGGAAGACTGGCTTAAATCTGGGCCTCATTTCTGGTTCTTTCGAATTCGTCCAGGACATTAGAGTGTAACGAGTCACCTATCGTTAAAAATAATAAATGTGCGTCATATGCCAGGTGTGTCATATGCCAGGTGTGTCATATGCCAGGTGTGTCATGTGACAGGTGTGTGTGTGTGTGTCATAGACGGACGTGAGAGTATGAGACTCTAACAGCATTACAGAGATCAGTTCTTGCTAACGTTACAAAGTTCGAGCCCCGAGGTGGCCCAGCTCGCCACACAGCAGAGGAGCTTGGCATGACAAGTGTTCTCTGGTCTACAAAAACAGATGCAGAGTGCAAGTGTATCTCCAGACGCCAGGAGGCACTTTCCTGGCGCCCCATTTCTTGAACAACTGTTTCTAGAAATCGTGCACACTTCAATATCACCAATAAACTATATATATATATATCTTCGGGTATCTATTATGATTTCCTTGTATCGTCAAATAAGATTCGTACATTTGTTAAGACCAGGTCGACGTAGCCAGCTTGTCCTGTAAGCTGCAGCTGACCTAGAAATACAGAAACGTTGTACTGTGGATACTAGTCCAATTCTATGTGAATGCTAAAGTGCTGTAGTCTATAGCATTAGATAGCGTGTGTGTGTGTGTTTTGTACATAGCCTAGGGTTAAGAGTGTTGACATAGACATTTGTTTCATATTTGCTTTTTTTGTTTTTCTAAGAACTGTTAATATATATATATCTGTGTCATGACACAGTGGTTCCTCAGTAAGCATGGTCCATCTTCCAATCACCTTTGCTGAGATTGTCGCACTTACGTGATTGTGATGAGGCGATTAGGCTGAAGCTCTGTTTATGGTGATTTGCTCGTCCCGTCAATAACTGCAATAACGACTCATTGTAACTGGCGGGGACTGAGGAGTAATAAGCTTTAGTAACGGTTGTAATAAGACCTACTTTTCCTTGTGTTGTGAATATCTTATAGTCCCACGTTTTACCAATTGTGAAATGTTGTGAATGACTGACTTTGGGTTCCTGTGTGTGTGTGTGTGTGTGTGTGTGTGTGTGTGTGTGTGTGTGTGTGTGTGTGTGTGTGTGTGTGTGTGTGTGTGTGTATGTATGTGTGTGTGTGTGTGTGTGTGTGCGTGTGTATGGCCAAGTAACGTCTCTCTCTCTCAGCCTTGCTGAGCCCTGCTGATTAAGCTCACTACGTGTGTATTGTACATATAAAATTGATCCTTAGTGGCGTAGTCACCAAGGCATGACTGACCAGTGAGTGGTAGGGAACAATGCTTAGAATACAACACGGTTGTATTCTGAGTGTTGTATTCTGAATGTTGTATTCTGAGTCCAACATTACACTGTCATTAATTAATCTGTTATAAATCGAAATAATAATAATTACTGCCATTTATATTTACTAATAAAGAATATAAATTGTATGTTAGCTTTACTAATGTTGCTGTTTGACCTGAGGAATACAAACAAACAAAAAACTCTTAAAAGCAGCAAGTAAATTATACAAAAAAATGTAAATTAAAAGTTTTTTCTATAATTTTTTTTATCTTAAAATGAATGTAGTTCTTCAGTTCACCATAATGGCGAAAGTTCAACACAGTAACGAAAGTTCATCATACAAAAAAAGTTCACACCACTATCATTGAGTGAATGAGTAGCAAAGAGTATCCTCTTCAGTAGGAATGTATATATATATATATATATATATATATATATATATGTGTGTGTGTGTGTGTGTGTGTGTGTGTGTGTGTGTGTGTGTGTGTGTGTGTGTGTTTGTGTGTATATGTGTATAACTGGCTGTATAAGTAGCTGGTCAGGGTGCTCCCCCCCCCAGCTGTTTAGGAAGGGGGGGGGGAGGGGGAGGGGGGAGGGAAGTGTGTGTGTATAATTGTGTGTATAATTTCAATAACATTCCGGGTGAGAGAGGAATTAAGCAGTTACTATGTCTCCTGATGACTATTAAACCACAAATAAAAGTTTTTAATGTAACACTGACTTTGACTTCCTTTCCCAAGTTAAGGAACCCAGGAGCTACAGCCCTGCCCTAGTGGGTGTAACTGGCCAGATCACGGCCCCCCCCAAGAACGCCACAATATTATGAATGGTACGAAGCCACCAGGGCCGTGACGAGGATTCGAACCTGCGCCCGAGAGCTTCCCAGACGCTGCTAATGAATGCTACATTAATGAGATATTTGAAATTGAATTAAAATAATTACGCGAACGCTAAAGAGATACATATTAGAACTATATAAATCTCCAAATAGACTTTGTAATGTGTAGATATACACACACACACAATCACACACACACACTCACACACACACACACAATCACACACACACACTCACACACACACACACACACACACACACACACACACACACACACACACACAGGGCCTCGCGGCTAAGTGGACAGCGCTTGGGAGTCGTAGTCCTAATGACCCCGGTTTGATTCCCGGCCGAGGCGGAAACAAATGAGCAGTTTCTTTTACCCTGGTGCACCTGTTCACCTAGCAGTAAATAGGTACCTGGTAGTTAGACAGTTACGTCTCAGGGTTAACCAGACCCCCCCTCCCCCCGCCGAGACCTACCCGCAGACCATCTTCCAATAGATGACCTTCTACAGGATGCAAACTGCAACAGTTGGCTAACTCCTAGGTACCTATTTTACTGCTAGGTGAACACAGGCATCGGGTGTAAGAAAACGTACCCAAACGTCTCCGTCACACAGCCGCGGGAGTCAAACCCGTGATGCTCGGTTGTAAGCCCAGAACGCAGACTACTAAGCAACAGGACCTACAATATCTACATCACCGTTGGTGTATGTTTGAAGCTGACCTCCAGAATGTATGCTGTATGTATGTACATACACAACCAGTAACGTGTTATAGAAATACACGTTACAATATATGGAGATTAATGAATGGAGATTAAGATAAGATAAGATGGAGATTAAGAATATAAGAACATAAGAACAAAGGTAACTGCAGAAGGCCTATTGGCCCATACGAGGCAGCTCCTATCTATAACCCCCCAATCCCACTCATATACATGTCCAACCCACGCTTGAAACAATCGAGGGACCCCACCTCCACCACGTTACGCGGCAATTGGTTCCACAAATCAACAACCCTGTTACCGAACCAGTATTTACCCAAGTCTTTCCTAAATCTAAACTCATCCAATTTATACCCATTGTTCCGTATTCGATTAATAAAAATATGGAGATTAAACCGAGTATTATTAACTTAGTGCAAGAAATGTACGACAAAAATGCGATATCTTCGTCAGGCGGTATCGACCCAGTGGGATACGAAGGCCTGTTTCCCCCCCCCCCCCCATATGCCTCCACCAGCCTCACCCACCCACACTTGACGCCTGCAAATAACTCTATTTCAGCTGTTGGTCTGATATCTGGTCTCTCTCTCGCGTCCTCGTTCATTCCCAGTCTCCAGCTGCTCTCTAGGATATATATTTATATATAAATAGGGGGGTACCACCACTGGTGTAATTATAGGGACCCACAGCCTCAGAGAAGGGAACACAGAGCACTCAGGGAAAAACTTGACATTTAACTCTGAATACGAAAGAGTGTTTACTTCTCCTACCACCCCCCTTTTTTTATTATGATGTACACTTTATTATGAATATATATATAAGAAATTTATATATAAATATATATATAAATACTAGTAATATAAATACTAGTTGCGTTTCTCCTGGGAGTATGGGTTCGAGTCACTTCTGGGGTGGAGTTTTCAGTCGCATATAGTCCTGGGGACCATTCAGTCTTGTTTGTATATATACATATATATCCTGATCTCCAGGATATATATTTATATATGACCTATATAAGGACATAAGAATATAGGTAACTGCAGAAGGCCTATTGACCCATACGAGGCAGCTCCTATTTATAACCACCCAATCCCACTCATATACATGTCCGAC